CCAGTATCCAGGGCAACGCGGCGAGGCACATGCGCACGCGCCTCACGTCGTCCTGGTGGGTGGGACGTGGGAGGGGCGGGACCTGAGCGCTGTGCGGCTTCCCGCGCAGACTCTAGGTTTCAGCCTCGGGAGCAGTGTTCCCGGGCTCGCTGAGCTGCACCGCGGCCGCCGGGCCGAGCAGAGTCGCAGGGCCAGCGTCACGCGGGGCGCAGGATGACCCGAGAGCAGGGAGAGCTAGCCTGGGTCTCACCAGGCGTTCCATTCCGATCGCGGGCGGAGTGTTGGACCGGGTGTGGGCGGAGCTGGCTGCAGGCACTGGCTCTGCAGGACGTCAGGTGAGCCCCCTTCCGAGGCAGGAAGGAGGAACGAGCACTGGCCTCCAGAAGAGGGCACGGTCGGCAGGCCCGGAGCGCTCTAGCTCTGGGCGCGCGGAGTAGCTTTGGGATCGGAAGACCGGGAACGATGGATGTAGTGAGGTGACAGCCCTGAGCTTTCCTGGAAATGGCCTGGTTCGACAGTAGAGTGACGGACTGACTCTGTGGCTTTGCTGTGTAAGCTGCATCCCCGTGGCAGTACCTCGAACCAAGTGTGATAAGTTGAGCTGCATCACAAAGTAAAACCTAGCCCTTGAAAGGCAGGGGTAGGAAAATGAGAAGACAGAGACTGGGACAAAAAAACATTCAGAATATAATAATTACCTAACGGGACTAATGTCCAGTTGTAGAAAGATCTCTACCTAAAGTTCAGGAAGATATAGCTGACCCAAAGCAACGAAAAACCAAAAAGAAAAAAAGAAAGATAGAAAAGACAAAGGAAACAATATACACATGACGGCCATGGACCAGGCTGGTTCACATCCATAGGTCTTGGGGACGTGACCATTAAAAAGGGGTGACAACATGGTGAGCTTGGACGATACCTCTCAGTGAAATTGTGGGACAATGGGTTCCCACATACTGCTGATAGGAGTGTAAAGTGGCATACCACTCTGGAATCAGCATGACAGTTTCTGTTCATCCCAAGAGCCGTAGTATGGGGGGAGGGGAGGGGATCCCCTGGATCATTCCAAGAGGAAGAGCCCAGTGGCTAGTGTTGAGCATCCAATGGGGTCATCCCTTCAGTAATCTTCAGTAGCTCCCAAGGCAGAGAGGGTGGAGTTTGGATGGTCTTCCTGGTGTTTCCTGGGGTTAGGGGTGGGGCTGTGGACCTGGGAAGGATTAGGAGGTGTGGCCTTATTGAAGGTGTGTCACTGGGGGCGGGCTTTGAGGTTTCAAAAGCCTATGCCATTCAAGTTGGCTGTGTCTCTGCTTCCTTCTTTGTGGCTCAGATGTGAGCTCTCAGCTTCTGCTCCTGCACCATGCCTTCCTGCCTGCTGCCATGCTCCCCGCCATGACGGTCATCAAACACTATGAAACTGTCAGCCCCAAACACACTCATTCATAGTGTCTTATCACAGCCAAAGAAAAGTAACGATTTGTATTTTTTTGGTTGTGAGCCTAGCTTTTAATGGCTGAGTCATCTTCTCTAGCCCATTGCGATACCATTTAAATGTATTTCTAGTACACCTTGGTGTGAGGAAGTTAAGAGGACCAATATGGCCTGAACTGGATTTGAACGCATGGACATTGTTTTGCTTTAAATACTTTTCTTGTTATTTTTGTAAAACGACAGGGGCTTTTATTTCACTTCCTAGACTAAGAGGCCAAGAACTGGGAAATACCCAAACCCAGTTGTCAGTAGCTCCACTTCAAGGTTCTCCTGCCCAGGAGCAGTTGGTTCTGGGGACAAATACTGCTCTGAAGGTCTGAATTGGGGCTGTGGGACACACTCTCCTGCTGCCTGGCACTAGCATGTTAGGAATGGCCCACATGGAAGTCAGTCTTTCCTGAGAGCCACAAAAGTGCCCCCAAACCAAGACTTAGAGCCTAGCTGACCACAGTAGGTAAGCAGGACAGAGTGATGATGGCTCTACCTCCAATACTTAGGGAGCCTGGCTCTCTGGGTCCACCCAAGGACCCATTCCCATTCACAGTGGAATCCTCCATTCTTACAGCAGGTGCCTCTTGGGCCCCCTTGTGAAAAGTAGCCTTGTGCCTACAGCCTGGATGCCCTGGCCCCCACATCACCAACACCAAAGCCAGAGTCCCATGATTCTGGGGCAAATGGTCTGGCCCTGCCTTCAGGGGGGCTCCATGTTCCTGTGACTGTTTCTACAAGAACAGAGGAGGTGTGTAGAGTCTCCATGTTGGTGCGTGCCTCCCTTTCCTCTCTTTCTTTATGCTCCCAGCCTCCTTTGCCTTGGGGAGTTGGTTTTTGTGCCCCGTGGATTATTATTGAGAAATTTGAGTTTTCATTAAAGCCCAGGTATTGTAGGGGAGACTGAGGCCCCCTTTCGAGTTCTTAGTCTCGTGGGGTTTGAGAGAAAAACAGCAGGGTAGGTAATCTTAAAATCTTGGTGGCTGCCCAGAGGAGGAAGAGGGGAAGAGGAAGAGAGAAACCTGGGCCTTCTGCTCTGGAGGTTGGCAGACAGCTTTGTGCTGGGAAAGGGGTGGGGCTACAGAAGTGGGGTGGAGGGTGGGATGGGGAGCAGGGTCTTGAGGAAAACATGCTTAGGTTTTTTAATGGAATTTGAAAAAGACATGAGGAAAAGGAAAAGCATGCTTAGTCTGCTTAGTCCTGGGCCATGAATCTGAGTTTGGAGGTCACCCCATTCCAAACTGTTGTGTCCCAAGGCAAAGGACTGCATTAGGGACACATGGTTAGAAATGGGAAAAAAGAAAATTATTAAGACAGGAAAAAGCACTCCTGATACTGGGAGCAGGCCAGGGAGCTGAGGAAGGACCTCAAAAAGTCCTGAGCCATAAGGCCTGTGCTGACTAGTAGAGAGCATTTTATTATTTAGTGGTTGATGGTGGAGGGCCGGGCCCATGGTGGGTGGGGCTGGTGGTCCTGGGTTCTATAAAAAAGCAGGCTGAGCAGGCAATTAGGAACAAGCCAGTAAGCAGCTCTCCTCCATGGCCTCTGTATCAGCTCCTGCCTCCAGGTTCCTGCCCTGTTTGAGTTCCTGTCCTGACTTCCTTCAGTGATAAACAGCAATAGGGAAGTGTAAGCCAAACAAACCCTTCCCTCCCCAAGTTACTTTTGGTCACAGCATTTCATCACCGCAATAGTAATCCCAAGACAAGGCCCATGACCCTTTATAGGACACTTTCATAGGCCCTTGTCAACCTGTCAGTCCCATTTATATCTCTCCCTTTTCTGCATTTGTTTCTCTCACACATGCTCAGTGCCTTAGATGAAGGCTGGGTGAGGAAGTGCGTCCACTTTCACTCTGCAGACTAGCTGTTTTCATATGGAAACCTTGGTGGTTGAGTATCTCGTCCTTACCCCCGTTGTGGGGGGACTAGAGATATTTTCAACCCAACACCCTTGAGGTCTGGGTTTTCCATGCCAGGGCCGCATGAGACAGGGTGTGATGGAGCATGTATGTAACCCTAGCACTTTGGAGTTTGAGGCTGGAGGATCAAAGAGCAGGGAGCTCACTGCAATATTGCTGTACCTCGGCAATACGACCACAAGAGGGCAAAAGAGCCCTTCTCAAGAAGCTTCCGCGGCGTCCAAGCAGAGCCGGGAAATACTTGCGGGCCTCACAGGCACAGTGGGAAGAGCGGGTGGTGAGACCAGG